TGTGTCAAGTAAAAGTGAGAAATTTCAAATGGGCCCTAGGACTACAGGCTAACCCCTTGGAAACAACGTTCTTGGGCGCGCGACTCTACTGTACGGCAGAATTTTTTGTTGACATCATCTTTACTACGACGCACACTCTGCGAGTCTTTTGGAAGTTTTGCCTCGTGCACTTTCCCGGGCTTTACATTGTTATAGGGGATTCACACACACGGGTAAACCTGAGGTCACGGGACAAGGTAAAAGTTCAGACCTTCGGTCAACGGAGTGGGGCCGTTCACACCCGTGGTCAGTTTTGCCTTGGCCACACGTTTGGCCATGAACTTGTGGCGGGGCAACTAAAAAAATAATCTGTACTGCATTTTTGTAGTACATTCTGTACTGTATCTTGCATTCGCCATGCACGATTTTCCGATCGGCACTGTCTGAAAATGCAAGTAATAGTTGCGATGCACTCGTACAATAGGGTTCAGAGTTCTCGCCAAAGACAAGATCTACGCATGCGCGTCTTATAGCCATGGGATTTTTCCCTTGACAAACGCTCTGAGGCCCACGGCCACGGCTTTGCCAATTTTTTCCCGAGAGGTTCTTCCTTTCCCCCAGTACCATAGTTTCCATAACAACTTTCCCATAACCGTGGTTTTACCCGTGTGTGTGAATCCCCTATAAGGTCGGTGCCCAGCTCGAGCGCGTGCTCTCTCACACTGCTCTGCGGCAAAATGCACGGTTTTCTGAAAAAGATGACATCAACAAAACATTCCGCCGTGGGCCGGGGTGTGTGCAGATTGTGCAGGAGAGATCCGGAGTTGCACACTCTTGTTTATGTACTCTTGGCTAGCTATACATGTATGTATGTCGTAATAGAGAGGTTCCGGGGTACAATTTTCCGTGCCATAATCCGTATGGGCGCTAAGGATTTTTTCGAGGCGCCGGCGTGCTTCATACGATTTTCAGCACGGAGAATCTGCGTGGATCATGGACAGACTTTCATGTAGGCGGTCAGCCTTTGGGTCATCCTAATAAAGTTATTATTGTAGAAAGGAAAAGGACATATGGATACGAGTTAAGAGTAACTCTCCATCACTGTAACATGATACTATTATACAGTCAGAAAGTGCAACAACTAGGCACAAAACTGACAGAGTACTGAGACATTCGACGTCCTGACACCTAGCTTCAACACATCTCCGTAGCGCTAACCGACAGCCTTCCAACTTGGAAGGTTCAAGGTTATGAAAAGACCAAAGGGGGAAGGCAAGCGCAATTAAAACGAGCAAAAGCTACAGTCCCAACGGAACAAAGAATGTCGATAGTTACTGGACGATGACGAGACCAGTACGATATTCGACATATATTTGATAGTTATTTTGGTTTTCCTTTTCCTTTCTACATTTATTTATGGCTCAACATCCGAGTTTCAAAGTTATTATTATTATTTATTATTACTTTCCACTCTGTTCATACGAACCATGTTTCGTATGGAGATTTTGCGTCATCGAGTGCAGACGCATTTTTCACGTACAAATTGGTACGAAAAACATCGATTTTCCACGGGACGTTTTGATTTCGGTAAAAAAATTTCAAAATAAAAGGCATAGCACGGGAATGTGACATGTTTGCGATCGTAACCTAGGCAATGACGGCAAACACATACATGTAAGTTCCGTACTCCGGAACATTTCACTGCTCGAAAGCGAGGTATAAAAAATCCGTAGCGCCTCTCGACGGATTTTGGCACGAGAAATTGTACTTCGGAACCTCTCATAACGAGGGTACATCTGTCCTGTAGGCTAGTAGTGAGATACATTTTTAAAAGTTCAAGTGCCTCGTCTACTCTTCTCTTGAGAATCATGCGTCAGGTTTTTACCGTACCGTTTCCATGGTTGTAGCCAATGTGCGACGCTCCCGCGGTGGCTTTGATGAGCCGATAAAGCCCGTCGTCAATGGTTATGGAAAAATACGGTAGCAATAAAGCCCATCGTCAATGGAACCCTAAACTCAGTCAGCCCCTAGCTTGGCAGCGGGGGTCTGTGGCAGTATTTCGTTGTCAGCTCAGATCGCATCTCACGTTCGACTGTGAACATTCTCTGGCACTTCGAAGTACCTGGAAACAGCCTGTCCAAGAACGGCAACATGAAAAGTGTCTACACATCGTGGTCAGTTTCCAACTCAAGTTCTTGTTGTCGTGAGTGGAGATGAAATCATTAAATTTTACGATAGTTTTGAATAAGCGAAAGAGCATGCACTTTATCTATCTGCTCTGAAGCAAGCTGAAATAAGTGGCAAACATCGCGATCAGTTTTCCATTTTCATTCTGCATGACTGTACATGTACTAATAAAGTAGTTGACGAGTTGCCGAACTTTTCTGGTAATTTTGAAAAAGCGAAAGATCATGGACCTGCTCTGAAGCAAGGATCATCCCATTCATGAGAAGCGGACGGAGCTGAAAATCACAAGTTGAATCCCCGACCACGTCCCCGACCACCACCCGTATACATGTAGGTGTCGCTTTTATACCAGAAACACGAAAGACAAGTCCGAAAAGGCTGCGATGCAGCGTTCCTCCTTTGTCATGTTCCCAATCGAACATGGTTGAACAAGCGGTCACGTGCTCCTGCGTACACCAGTCACCTGGTCACCGCGCCGCCAGCAGGCGACAACTTTCACACCAAGGTTCAACTCGAGTGACAGGACTGCACCCAAAAAAGGTCAAACAGGCTAGTAAGTTGTACCCTGCAGGCACGGTGACCAGGTGACTGGTGTACTGCAGGAGCACGTGACCGCTTGTTCAACCATGTTCGATTGGGAACAAAGGAGGAACGCTGCATCGCAGCCTTTTCGGACCAAAACCAGTCGACTCAGCGTCCAAAAGACTACAACATATGGGCCAATCACGGTCATCCGTGCTTTTATAAGAACGAAATGGCGCTTTTAGTGACATTTTGCATACAAATCCCCATCTCGTAGGGCGCAGTCACCCAGTTTCGGTGGAAGTGCGCGTCTGCGCGAGTTCGATTGGGAATATAGGAGGAAGGGAGCATCTCGAGGAAGGGTGCATCTCAGCTTCCTCGGACCAAGATAATTCGACTCAGCACCCCGAAGACTACAACTGGTGAAAATTTGATTTTAGACTTAACTTCCCCTTTAACAGTTCGCAGGAGACTCGGCTAGAAGTAGGGTCCGGCGGATTCTGCCGGCAGAAAAATTGGCAGAATTCGGTACTTTTCTGGTAAGTTTCATGCATGTTTGGTATGTGGATAAAGAAATGGAGCAGAATTCGAGGAATTGCCCGCCATAAGGTTTGTATGGTCCTGCCAATTTCACTGCTTTTCGAGCAGAATCTGCCACCTTTTCGAGCAGAATCCGCCGGTCCCTAGCTAGAAGCCGAGTTTTCCGCATCGGTAGGAACGCTACCTCCCTCAAGGATCAAGAAATCAGCCCAGTAAAATTTCCTTCATCACGTTGTGTTTATATTGCCGGTAAAAGAGGCTTATGACGTGTGTTGTGTTGGTTTGGATGGTAGATTTTTCTATACTGTAGTACCGCAGTAAAACCTGTCAAGGTGACCACTCTGATACAGCAACCACCTGTCCAAAAAGACCACTAGAACAACGACCAATGCATGGATGCCAGTCAAATGACCCTGCATAGGGAGACCACCTGTGCACGCCTGCACGGGGGGGGGGGGGGGGGGGGCACATTTTTGAAAGTCCCTCCAGCGAGCCGGCTTGTCACAGGTTTCACTGTAAGTGTCATGTAGATCTACTATAGTACAGTCATGTACATAATCATTGGCACACTGCGGTCAGTAATGAGTACTGTTGATACTGCAGTGTGGTCTGGACCACTCTATTCATCATTACAATCATGTTCACCCAGAGCTGCGCGCTATGCCGTGATGGCGCTAGCACAGCTCTATCTGTAGTACTACTGTACTGTACTGTAGTACTAGTGTGCCAGCGGAGATACGCATCAAGTTACCGGACGGGATGTGCAAGTCACGGGGGCGAAACAAGACACGATTTCAAACAAACTGTGTTTTACCGTTACTCCAAGCGTCCTACTGTAGAGTGTAGTGTACTAGTGCTAGTACATGTATGATGTAGGCTATTGTAGTAGAACTAGAAGAGCATCAAACCGCCAAGACCGCGCCTCGTACCAGTCCGAGGTGTGACTTTTCTCCCGACGTAGATCTACTGGCTGCTACACTCCATGGATCCACAGACTAGTCTGTTGTGACCGAGCTGCGTGTACCGCGTTTCTGCTCTGACCGCGATCGCTCGTCTCGTCAGGATCAATGCGGACCATGTAGATCTATCTACATGTACCTACATAGGCTACAAGCCACGCATGGATCGACCGACCGTCCAAACACTCTACTACACTACTAGTAGTAGTACTACAGTCTACCGTCTACCGTCCGGGGCCTGCTGTACTAGTATGTCAGTAGCGTAGACCTGGTAGACTGGAGTCTAGTCTGAGAGTACAGTCCGGCTGCTGCGATCAAGCCTCCCCCCTGGAGGTCGAAGGTCCACTTCAAGTTCAAGGCCACCAGCGAACTGCATGCAGGCGCGCTTCTAATAATAATAATAATTCGCGGGATTCGCGTTGGCATCGCTTGAATGTTCAGAAACACACAAACTAGCCTTCGCTTCCGCAGGCCACCACTATGCCTATGCCTTGCACACCTTAGTGGCGAATGCAGACCTCACAAGTGAGTCAGGGGAGAGTAGGTGAGTCTCTCAACCAATCGGGCGTGTAACGGCCCATAACCCTGTAAACTGCATCCTTGTTACCCTCACTCCGAGCTGTGAGTACCCAGTTGACCGTGGGTGTCGGCGCAGTTCACCACACATAAAAAGTCTTTACTCACGTAAAAAGTCTTTACACGCTCCCTGCTACCAGCGCGGGTCTCGAACTCGGGACCTCATGATTCGCAGGCAGGCGCGCTTCTGAAATCACTAAAACTAACTGCATTCTGAAATAGTACTGAAACTAACTGACTTACTTCAATCAGTGGTGTTCAAGGGAGAACGCTCCACGTCCTTTCATCCAGCGAGAACGACTCGCTGCGAACAGCTTCCGACCAAGCCAGCGGTGGCATCTTCCGTTGGTACCCGGCCTCCTCACAAGTACTGCCCTCTTCCTTAGGTAAATCTTACACATTCAGCAAGGAATTCTGGCCGTGATATTGCCCATTATTGGTACAGTGGTGGCATGCGTTCTGCGCTCGATTGGTGTGGTGGACGAGTTGGTCGTGTTTTCGGCAACAATTGACTTCCCCCCTCGGCCTGCATTCGCTTTCCTGCGGGCAAGAGGCCTACTCAGCAGCCGCTCACAGCACGGCTGACAGCTCGCACGTCTCAGTTTTCTCTCCTACATAGTTATTCAGCAACTAGGGGCAAGTAGACTGATGGTGCGGTGTCTTGGTGGCTTCAAACTTTCCGTTAATTGTTCACTGGTGCACTGTGCACACTCGCACGGCCAGGAAAACTAAGCTGGTAGGCGACGGAGAAGCAGTGTCGACCGTTCCAACAACGGTTCGTGTCCGTCCGGCATCCTTATAAATAATTACTGGACCAGACCGACCATGTACGTGGGTGTGGAAGCGTCTCCCGGTCCGCCGTGTATGCAGCACCGATCCAAGAGCATGACGGCGGCGTTGGATTCTGTTCAGTGCGTCCAGTCCTCGGCCACCATGATCCGATTGCGATGCTTTATCACAGGTAAGACCCGGAGTCCTTGCTGACCAATGTAAATACGGGGACCGAATGGCTGACGATATTACTATTATTACCATCTGTAGTGTAATGAGAACAGCTTTGTTGCGTTTCAAGGGTGATAAGTGGTGCCTACGTTTTGTAGTGGTTTCTACTTTTCCTAGCGTGTCAGTCCGCCTCGAGTTAGCAGCAACCTGTTTTTGTACCGGCATGTACAGCTATGTACATGACTGGCTGCATGCATTGGTGTCGGGCCGGCGTAGGCTGTCGTCGTCGTGGTTCTGTCGGAAGTACTCGTTCATTGCTACAAAAAACTGCCAGTGCTTGTCCTTGCCACGGCACCGGTGCACCAGTCGACTCGGCGTTAATAATTATTAATTTGTTTGCTGTGTGCTGTGTAGTTCTGAAAAATGTCTCTGCTGCGCTGTGCCTGTGGTGAAGTGTAGCGCTAGTACAGTAGTAGCTGCTGTGCGATCCAAAGCCTGCGTCCGTCCTATCGTCCTATCGGGGAACAAGATACAAAAACGAGCGCTGTAGTGGTGCAAGAATTATTTGTTTTCTTTTCTTGTGAGTTGTGTTATTAGAGGTGACTGCTGTGCTGGTACCGCGTACCGGTAGAGCTACGTAAAATCCAGTGCGGCTGGGGTTTCTGAGCTTGAAGTACGCTCGTGTTGTGCAGCGCGACCTGTTCGTTCGTTGGGCAGTGATGGGCGCGCAGTGACATCTCATAGCCGGCTGTGTTCGTTTACGTTTGCAGGTCACGAAAGGTCCCCACTCCCAAGCGAGCGTCTTTACTTGCGCTGAGCGATGTGTTGTAGGTCGTGATTTGCGTTTCACCTTCATGATCGATCAGGGCCCTATAATGAATGTTGTTCGTAGCGCTCACGATCGACTGTCAAGCGCCTTCTGGTTTGCTCCGTGTTACTGTCTGTGTTCGTTTTGATCGTGTACGTGTTTGATCAGCTCTAGTCTAGAGTCTAGTACTAGTACTAGTAGCACGCACATGCAGTAGATCTGCTAGTGCCTTCTCAATCACGGTGTCGTTTATGACTGGTCTCTTTGTCCCATCGTGAGTTGCTGTTTCCAGAGGCGTTGGCTGGAAGGTAGAACGTTGCGTGTGGTACTAGGATCTACATCTGATCACTTGAAGCAAACCACGCCGTGAGCTGGTGAGCTAGTGCAGCTTGAGAGGCGCAAAGAGGAGCTCAGTTCAAGCTACATGCGTAACATGGCCATAGTGTAACTGTTTTCGTCTTTCTTGACTTGACTTGAGCAAAGCTTGTATCACACAAGATTCACAGCGTCACATGACCATGATGACTGGGAACAGCCTCCCCCCCCCCCCTCCCAAATCCATGCCATGGTCACTTCTTGACTGTCAGTGTTACTGAATACTGTCACTCATTATGACACCACGTTGGTACACTATCAGTCTATCACTACTACATGTATCAGCCTGTGACTAATGTTTTGTCCAAGACAGCAAGACAGCAAGACAGTGAGTACACACTTGCGCGAGTACAGTCATGTAGTAGACTACAATGTACTAACAGTTACACACCCTAGCCTAGGCCTAGCACAGGGCCTAGCCTAGGCCTAGCACAGGGTAGCCGCAGTGTATTGTGAGAGGAAAGAGTATCATTTTTTGCTTTGGCGATGAAATTATTGTAATAAAAATTTAATTTATTATTAGTGACTAGTCCCTGGCTTCACCTGCGCCTGCACACGTGCACAGGTGCTGGACCACTTGAAGAAAACATAGCGTGCACCCTGACTGAGGAAGTCCTAAAGACTTTAAATAGACTGTACGTGCAGTCATTAGCTATCCCCAGTGCCCCAAAATTATGGTTGAAGTGCTGCAGCTTGTCAAGTCCATGTCACTCGCAGTTTTCCATGGCAACTGGCGAATTTTGGGGAAAAAGCAGCCATGATTGCGAGCTGCAATATTACATTGTTGTCTCCAGCCGTTACTTGAAGACGTTCACGGGGGGGGGGGGGGGGGGGGGGGGGGGAGCCGGTATGCCGGTAGTGGCCCTAGTTTTCCGGTAACATACCGGGAAAACCGGTATGTTTGGCAAGTATGCATAGAAGATGGAATTGCACATAGAGTGAATCCCCGTTGGGAAGAACCGACTGATAAGACAAATGTTTGCCTAAGAATAACTAGTATTCGTAACTGTATTGGATAAAACCCTGTGTATTCACTGGGTAAAACATATGGATAAGAAGAACTCCCGTTATTGCGAACAAAATTAATATCATCGGTCCCTGACTCCCTGGTTGTTTGTCCTAAAGAGGTTTTACTGTAGATGTAAGTATGGGACGGCGTATAACCTATCTCTACAGTCTTTGATTCTATCAAGAGTAGATAAACAAGAGTGTGCAACTCGCGGATGGGTAGGCCCACGGCGGAATTTTTTTGTTGACGTAATCTTTTCGACGACGCGCGCGCCACGGCTGTTACGACAGTACAAAACGGGCCCACTTGGTTTTTGTACAGGAGATGGCGCTTCCCGGGACTTTCCCGTTCTCAACGTTCAAAATTTGTACTCAAGGAGGTGTATTTTGAACGCAATCTCTGCTCAGTTGGGTCTCCAAAGCACCACTTCTGATCACCGCGTCGAGCTGTCCTCGCGGCTACAGTTGCGCAACATCCTGACCATGCCTCGCCAAAGAAAAAAGTAGTGAATTTGAGCTTTCCTTCGCTGAGAAAAGCCATTCTTCATGGAAATTTGTCTCTGAAGTTGTTGCCGTTCGATCGTTCTAGTCACCGAAGTTTGTTGCCTCCTTGAGGTGCTCAACGAGTTTTCGTCACGTCAAGGGTAGTTTTGCCGAGGAGAAGAGTATCTGTGTAGCTGTTTTTTGTTACTGCTGGGGCCCCGCTGATTCCTTGTTGGCCCCGCTGGGTCCAAATCTCTAGCAACATTTAGTGGAAATTGTTATTTATTCAGTGGATTTGAAATGGAAAAACACCAAGAAAAGTTACAGCTGGTATGCAGGTTAGGCGGTGAAAAGTTGTGTAGTACTAGCCGTGGAACTCAGCACCTTGTGAGAGATCATGCGAAAGCCATTGAATCTGTGCTGAGTATTAATGTGTTGTGTGATGACCAAAAAACTCATGCATATGAATATGCATGTAGCTCCAGCCTCATCCAGTCTGCATTTAGACGATGCAACAATTGGCATGGATATTCCCCTGATGAAACTGTACGACATTGCATCACCGCCATACAAAGCAATTGCTGACTTGCTGCCGGAACGCTTTATATACAGAGTTCGTTGCAGCACGCACGGCGGTACAACAACGTGATTAGAAAAGCCATTCTTCCTGTTGAGCTGCAATACGTGTGTGTTCCTGTGCTCCACCTAGATCTAGGGATTTATCCCTGGATTTACGGTGCACTTTGTGCTGACGCACATCAAATCGATATTGCACTGAGCAAATGTATGTTTCTTGCTGCAGATGACGGTGACTCTGCAGCGTCTATCAATGCCTACAAGAACGTACACGACACAGCAACACAAAAACTACACCTACAGTCAGAAGCACAAAGCATTCGTAGTCAGCTGCAGTTTGTGACGCTACAAGAACGTACACGACACAGCAACACAACAACTACACCTACAGTCAGAAGAACAAAGCATTCTTAGGCAGCTGCAGTTTGTGACGCTGCACATTCAGCAGCAGGAAGTAGTGGCTGCTGGCTTGCAGACTGTGGCATCAAATCTGCACTTCCTATGGAAGGAGAAAGAAAAGGAACTCAATTTGATGAATGAGAGGTGATGTGGCTCGAAAAGAGCATGAGAAATTAACAGTAAAAGATTAAAAAAAAGCAGCTGGCCCGTGCGTAACTTCCTTGGAAGCAGTACTGCCACAGTACCAAATAAAGCGGCAAGCATATCACTCCGGAGCATTTGTCGGCAACCACATACACCGTGCGTTGAAACCGGATGTCATTGCTGCCCTCACTTCTGTTCCCCTTACAGTCGTGCAGAGCCCCACACCTGCGGACAGCGGCGAGGTTCAGCTGCTTATAGCTTGCCCAGGCAAAGTCCTTGAGAGATCGCTACTCGAGACTCTTCACAGAGTATGCAGCATGTCGCAAGCTGTTCACTGGCAAGCTAGTTTTTACAACAGCAACAAGGCAGGTTCTGGGTGATGCCATCCACACCTTCATGGCCACCTGCAGAGCGGAGGTTCTGGCACGCAAGTTAGGAAATGTGACTCCTAAGCTTCACCTTCTCGAGTGCCATGTCCTTCCTTGTACAGGGTTGAAATTTATTCTTGCTGATCTGTTCGGCCACACACTCTGAGCTCCTCTGATGAGACCTAACAAGGTTGAAATTAATTCTTGCTGATCTGTTCGGCCACACACTCTGAGCTCCTCTGATGAGACCTAACAAGGTTGAAATTAATTCTTGCTGATCTGTTCGGCCACACACTCTGAGCTCCGCTGATGAGACCTAACAAGGTCGAAATTAATTCTTGCTGATCTGTTCGGCCACACACTCTGAGCTCCCCTGATGAGACCTAACACTGTAACAGGGTTGAAACTAATTCTTGCTGATCTGTTCGGCCACACACTGTGAACTCCGCTGATGAGACCTAACAAGGTCGAAACAGCTATAGCTGTCCGGAGATTGAGTAAACTTGACAAAAAGTTCTCCCCCGATCCGAGGCGCAGGTCGTCATTTTGCGAAAGAGTCCTGCGAAGCACATCTCCTTTATCTGGTACTGAGCGGTATCCGTTGCACTTCGCGGAGCACAGCTGCCTCCAACAACATTTTTTGACGAGCAAGAGACTGAAGAGACGAAATCCATAAAAGTACTATTTCAAGTATTCGAAGTGACAGAACCTTTTCTTTCTGCAGAAATGATCATGAAAATTTGAAAAATGCGATGAGCGTACCCACGCTTTCCGTGTGACCTCTGTTGCCAGGGGCGTTGCTACAGGGCGCCGCCATCTTGCCAAGTGACCTCCCCGTAACAGCCGTGCGCGCGCTGC